GCAAAGATGATTTTCATCCTTATTTTATTCTCTTATGCTGATAAAATAGAATGGTCCCTTGAACAAATGGATGCAAAGAATTCTTTCCATAGAAATTTACAACAACAATTATTTATGGATGTCCCAGTGGGTTTTGAGGACTCTTCAATTAATGACAAAGGGTGAATGCTAAAGATTGCATTACATGGGTTAAAACAATCCCCTAGACCATGGTTTGATAGGTTTATATGGAATAAGCTAGGATGTGGCTAAAGACAGAGTCAAGGGATCATACATTTTTAATTTATCATTAGCTTGAAGATGGCCCTCACTATGTATGATGTTGATACTAACCTAATGGAAATTTAGGGAAAATGCAAATGTTGAAGGCTCATCTTGCGAAGGAAATTGAGATAAAAGACCTGAAAAACTTAAAAGTATTTTGTAGATATTGAGATTGTCGAGTCTCACAGAGGTTTCATGGTTTCACTGAAAAAATATTGTTTGGATCGTCTCAAAGAAAGGTAAGCTTGGTTGTAAAGCCATTGATATTACAGTGGAGTATAATTACAAGTTAGGGGAAGATACCGAAGGTGCTTTAATTGACAAGGAGATCTTCCTGCAATTCGTTGGAAAACTGATTTATTTGTGTTATAAAGCATATATATAATGAGTAATGTTATTTGGACCTAAAAATCAGACCTAATTTGCTCACATAATGACGTGGCTTCATAGGAATCATTGAATCAACACCAAGTTCCAATGTTTGATGGGGCCTAGAATCAATCCAAAGGTCACAGTGAATTAGGTCAGCAAATTAGGTCCCAATAGCATTGCCCATATATAACCTAATAAAACCATAGTTTGAATCAGTTTTTGTATTCCCTGCACAGGTCACCTATGGAGGCAAGTTATCGAACACGTCGTCATTTGAAGTCTACTCCGGGGTTGTTGGTTTCAAGACATAATGACTTGTAAGTAAAATCTTGTGGCGGAATTCAATAGCTCGATTACCAATCAAAGGTCTACATCTGGTTTTTGTACTTGTGTGGAAAAAAATTAGTGACATGACGTGGTAAGAAGCAATCAATGGTGGCTGGATCTAACGTAGAGGCAGAGTACAAAGCTATGGCCCATGGAGCATGTTTACTTACTTTAGTTGAGGACATTATTGAAATAGCTTAGTTTTGACTGCAACAAGACTATAAAAATTTGATGTGACAACAAAGCAACAATCAATATTGCTCATAATCCGATTCAACATAATAGAACTAAGCTTTTTGAGGTTAAGAAATTGAATACTGGCTTTATTTGCACTTCTTCTGTAAAGACTGAAGAACACTTTGCAGAAATTTGGACAAAGGAAGCTTCTAATAAAATATTTCCTGAAATCCTAAGAGAGTACACTGGTGAGATATTTTTGCACCAGTTTGAGTGGGAGTGTTGGAATATGTCCTATTTCTTTCAATGTACCTTACAGGGTACTTATAATGTTGCAATTAGTATAAACGATAGGCTACAAGGTAGAGAATCCTAACTATTCTTCTCTTCCTTATTCAGTATATATTATGCCTCCCCTCTTTTTCTTCTTCTCCACTGATTTGTTTGCAGTGAATTCGACAGTATTACCCTAGGTGGAGGAGTCTGACATGAAGTGGATCATCCCTAATCAACAGTTTTCCAAGCACAAATGTGTTTGACATGACATCCCTAATCAGCTTGTGTTTTTCAAACATGACACAGAGCTACTACACCATCTCCTTATTTGCAGCCTACTTTTTACCCACACAACTTTAGCCTGTCCAAGGTTATACTATATCAGCCAAAAAGGCTCTGCTCATCCTTTTGGGAGACCATCAAATAACAAAATTGCCATTTCAGCAAAATTTTGGAACCTCATAGCGCAAAATAAAAGGAGTTTTGGGAGCTTGGAGCTTCAGGATTATAATATGGACATCATGACCCTATATTTGTTTCTACTGACGCCCATGTGAAAATGGGTTTTAGAGTGCTCTCATAGTCAATCTTAATGCACCTCGCAGTACATTAACTTTTAATAATAATGCAATTAATTTCTGAGGACCACGGACTCTGAATGGGGTAATACAGGAGGTGTGGATGGTCCAACCTCATAAACCCACCTTGTTTACAATATGTTCTACTCAAACAATCTCATCGTATTACAATTGACCTCATTGATGGTGATGAGGGAAACTCATTCAAGGTCCATAAATTAACTCTAGAAACAGAAAGGGAACTCTAAGCCTAGTGTCACTAGTCACTACCAGACAGAGAGAAAGAGCTGACATTTGAAGGGAATAAACGCTCCCTTTAAAATCGCTGATTTGAACAGCTGACAAACATATCAACGTTAACTTGCACAAGCATCTTCAGCCCAATGGATACAACTTGAGGAGGATTACTGCAAAGTCAAATAAAAAGGGACTCGAGGCAAGTGGCCATAGGTCCTTACTCAAAAAATGGAAGATACGTTCAAATGCAAGAGATGACACATTCTCCATAGCACTAACAGTTCAGAAATTTCTTAGAACAGTGCTACATGAGTAATTTGGAAGAAAAAAAGAGCCTGTTCAACCAATTTGAGTCAGCTACAACAGAGGAAAAAGGCAAATAAACACATTGCAAAACATCGAAGTTCACACATGAAGGAATAGAAGGGAATTAAAAAGTTTACCTTTCTTTAGTGGCCTCTTGGATTTATCGGAGGGCTCAACAGCCTGTGACCTTGAAGATTCAGAGGGACTTTCAGATTCTCCAAAGACACTCTGCAGTATATATAAATTCAGATTGACAACATAAACCTAGGTACAAAGTTTATAACACAGTTGATAGCATTACAAAAATGGCACTCACTGTTTTCATGACCATGAGCCCAGAACTATTTTTACTGACAAATAGAAATTGAGATACCAACATCCAAAGTACATTTATTTACTGGGAAAAAAAAACCCTCCAAAGTTTATACCACTTTTAATACAAAATAATTTTCAGGAACAACCTTGGCATCTGCTAATAATTAAAAATATTAATATTTTATTAATTCACAATATATTTTAACTATATTTTGATTTTTTTAATAAGTAATACAGGTAGTTGGATATTTTTGTTGTAGGAATTCATAGTATAAGTCAACACCAACCATAAAGAAAATTACAAAGGGTCCACTTCAATAGAGGAGTATAAATATATTAGTAAAAATAAAAAGTATGTTCAACATGGCAATTAACTAAAGCACGAATTCAGGGCTTCAAAACAAGGTTAACCATACACAGTAGCTCAAAAAAGAGAGCTAAAAAGAGACGAATGATTAATTAACAAAAAAAAAACAAAATCCAAGTTTGTTAAAATGAAAATCATTAGAAGATACCATATAACTTAATTGTTTATGTTAGCACAAGTGCCATACTTTTAAAAAAATGTTTTGTTTCTGCTCATACATGTAAATGATCTTGATATGAAGAACCCCATCCAGCTGGCGTAAAAAACAAGAGGAATAAAAAGATATTTCAAGAATTCCATCCCTAACAAAAAGAAATTGCAAGAGAGATGTCAATGATCATTATAAGTTGGCATGTTGAAGCATTAACTGTATGTTAATTATACTTGCAGACTAGCAGTCAGAAGATTAGGGGATTTAACACTAATTCTAGTTTAGTTCTTTCACTGTAACATTTTCCTTTTTTACTGCAGTACAATGCATTTTTCTTAACCACCAAAAAAAAATATACGTGACAAGAATTAGTAATCAAAATAGAATATGATTTCTGCACTCATTTTGAGTTCAGCTCTCATAACTTTTCTTCATGTCTTACACCTCATAATAAACTGCTTGAGCCAACATTTGTCAGCTTTCAAATTGTCTTCATTTCTTCAAATTCCACCAATTACTCCCAGTGCTTAACATTCTGCTCTCATGACCTCAGGAAATCTTACAAATTGCAATGAAGCAAGCAACAAACAAAATTCTTCCATGTATTACTATTACAAATAAACTCCTTGGTTCAGAATTAAAGTGGAATATGCATAGTTGTGCCAATTTTCTAGCAGCCTAAACTTTTCAGGCAACTAATTATTTGACACAACATGGGTTAGTGCCTCCATAAAAGAATCCGAGAACTTCATGGTGACTTGAGGAGCCTGGCTTAGTGAGGAGGAGTAGAGGCTCTCCAAGAACTGAGTGCTCCAACTAGTCAAGGGCAGGCAGCAATTACAGCCGCAACATACAAAAGAGGAAAAGGATTATATGCTATTCTTAAGCATCACTCATTACTGCATACCCTACACTACAGCCTTCTTTGTCTACTGCCCTATATCCTTTAGGAGCAACAGTCATATTGGAGCTTCAGTCTGCCTCTAGCTATGCTCATATGTCATATGCTACTGAATGGTTTGGTATGTGTTGAATCCTAATATATAAAGCCCCAAGAATCATTCTCCAACAGCCAAATACATGTGTGATCAAGGAAGCTAAGTTTCAGTGACACCATTTTGAGATGCTCTTGCCCTTCAATTCTCCCTCTCAGACTAAACTACAACCCCTAGGAACAAATGGTCACCACACATCTTCCAGCTTGAATAACCAACCAAACACATCATTAGAAACTTCAAAGTAATATTATTTTTGAGTCACTTATTGCCTCACCTAAACATAACCCAAGAATCAGGATTCTCTCAAACATATCCTTTTATAACCCCTCTTTTTCATCTAATATAAAAACAAGAATATAATCACTAAGAAAAAGGAAAATACAGAAGAAGAGAAAGTTAACCTTCAGGAAGCTACAACACTTGTGATGAAGAAGAAAAAAATTAGACACCTGGACATCATAATACTATCCATGGATTGCATATTTTCTTCACTGGAGACCTATATATGTTTCCAAAGGTTCACAAACCCAACAAAGCATTCATCCAGATATTCAGAGTTTCAGACTGTAGCTAACTTTTGACTAAAATTCAAGGTAAGTAAAATAAACCATATATTTCACAAATATGCAATCATTTCATATTATTTAACAAGCCAATCAAGAATAATTAACTTTCCAAATTACTAAACCCCTTCTTTCCTAATCTTAATAGAGTTGGGATTGTTATACAAAAAATTGAGAAGCATTTAAAAGCTTCGCACAAGCTTTACCCTCTCAAAATCTTCAAGGTTGTAGGGAACAAGCTTCTTCAAGGATTTTGCAGATGCCTGAACACTGACTTCAACATCGACTTCATCATTGTCACTACAATCTGATCTTGCCTCACCACTGCTAGTCGATTCTTCCTCATTACTCGCTTCGTTCTCATCTTCAACCTCTGACTCTAAACTACACTCTACACCTGACTCTGCACTATCATCATCTGACTCATTTTCAGATGAGCAATCTTCACCAAAATCCTGCACAAAACCGATGACGGACAAATAATAACTTTGGTAAATACAAATAAAAAAACACTTTATTTATTATTGAATGGACTAATATCAACTAAAAACAAGAAACAAAAATAGCTAAAAATTACGAAGCTTACATAAGGAGACAAAACACTATTGTCAAGCACCAGTAAAGGAACTTGTAAATCTCGTGCAAGTGCTCTAACCAATCTTTCTCGATAGAGCTCAGTACCTGTCGCACAATTGACCCCACATGTTCTTTTTTCATAAGCAAAATTGAACACAAACTACTATTGACAATCTGAAAGCGTTCTAAAGGATAGGTGAATAGTTAACCTGGAATGCTCTGAAGCAGTATTCTCCCACTTGAAGAAGTCAAACGGGCACCATAAGCAGCAGTAAACTTCCTATGCTTCAAATGAGCAGCGGCACATTCCACCAAAAGGTTTTTGGTGTGTTCACTGTAAGAATATTCACTTGAGCAACTACGATTTAATAATTTGAAGGCAAAGGAAACAAAGAAAATCAACGGATGTAGCACTCACTGAATGTAGTAAGGAAACGTTTCCCATGAAACTGTTAATTTTTCCCATGGAACGATCCTCCGCAAGAACTCATTTTTGAATCTTTCCCGTCTACATAGAAAAGGTGATTCCTTCTTTTTACTCTCAATAGCCAGTTTTTCATTATTGAGCCATTCCTTTTGATCTTGATTAGTGAGGTGAGCATGTGCATCACATTGCTTCACGTCTTCCTTTACCTTTTCCCTCCTTACCTTTCCCTTGTCAGGATTAGACCCATCTTTCACCGGAACTTGTTTATCGTCACTTGCATTCCTTCCATCCCCTTCTGAGCTATACGGTCGTAACTGACCACTCTTCCAACTGGCATTAGATCTTCCATGCAGCCTTGTATGTTTACTAGCGGCGGTGACACCACTTGATGAGAAAGTATATAACATATAACTTCTGATAAAACTAGCTTGAGAACTGTCATTCCGTCCTATTAATGTACCACTCAAAGCTCGAGAGCAAGTGTAATCTCTGTGACTAGGACTAATCAAAAAGTTGCACGGCTGAACTATGGAACTCCATTTCTTATTTCTACTCTTTAATGTCCTTGCATACATTGCAACAACTTCTGCCAATCGTAGATAGCTAGCATACAGAAAATTTTACCCCAGTAAGTTCGCAATAATATCCTCAAAGTCAAATTATGGTGCAAAATTACCATTCAAGTGGAACAATTCCGGAAAAGTTTTTGCCCACATATGACCAAGCAAATACGTCAACGATTTCAAAAAAGTGGGGCTAAAAAACCAAATATTTCATTTCTTTCCACGAGCTCTGGTTTCTCAGTAAGCAAATAGAACCTAAAAAGATGACCATGATGCAAACAATTTTCCAGAATAAAATCAAAATCATATTAATTCATTGTTAACAATTTCCTAACAAATTTTTTGTAACCTATACCATAGAACCACATCAACACCAAAAAGAATTGCCCATAAGGTGGTAAGTCTTCACGAGTGAGTTCCTCAGATAAATTACCGACAGTAGAGACTTCTAACGATAAAATGCGTGGACAGCATCTCTGATCCTTACTTAAACCATAACTAAAATTCAAATTTAAGTAAAAATCGGCTAAAATAAACTCCAGTCTTTTTACACAAACTCATATCAAATATCAAATGAATAAAGGAAGACTCAAATTTTTATTCAAATTAAAGAAAACTCAAACCTTTCCTCAAATCTCCAATAGTCAGATTTCAGTACATACTTCAAACTCTTTTAAATTTGAATTTATCCTCCTTACCCATTGGAGAGTCAAGATTAGAGATGCCTTAATAATTAAAAAATGTTATTTCATTTTTTGGGTAGAAAAAAATATAGATAAATTTTTTATCTTCCTTTAATGTTATTCAAATCGTTGGAGGATATAATTGCTACATAAAATTCAAAACTTTGAGATAAAAAAACACTCTACTCTCGGCTCAGACGATCGCATTCCAATAAGCAGAGGAAAAATAATAGGAAAAGACCGGCAAATCAATAAGAGAAGATGTAATTAGTCAAACAAATACCTTTTTCGATAATTTAGGCTCTCAAATTCAAGAACCAGATTGTTCAATACCCATATGAGACAAAAAAGATAGAGGATAGTTAACAAATTCAGAAACAGTGAAGCTCATACATGGAATTGCCAATCGGAGCGAGGGGAGAGACAGAGATTATGCCCGTAGATAGGGAGCGAGAGAAGGTGCATGAGTACCTTTTTCAACGGTGGGGTAAGAGAGGGAGCGAAGATATGTTGCGTTTTTTCTTTGTTCAAGGACGCTATACCGAATCAAAAGGGCTGCGTTTGTCTAGTAGATGTAAGGACTCGTTGTTTCTTGTTGATCAGTTAGAATTTAGAAGGACCATCCAGCCTAACCTAAACAGTGCATGCGTAATCGCTACAGTACGATGGACATGTTGGCTCCTGGACCCAATTTGCAAACTCACAAAGGCAAGTTTTGTCTTTGTAGGACTAATCTTGTAAGTCTTGCAATTCATACTACTAGTTGGTGCAAACATGTATATTGCATATTGTTACTCTAAAATTTGTTACGATCGACAAAAATAGTTAAATCGACAAGTAATTGTTTATGTTGGTTCAAATTCTTTGTTTCATAACTTTTTTTTGATCAATTCTTAAAGAAATGAACACACAAAATAATAAATTATTAAAATTAAATTCATTTATTAATTTAATTTAATGAATTTCAGTTACAAAGTGATTGATTTAACAGTCTTTGATTACAGCACTAACTAATTCTTAAAAACTAATTTTAGCATTACACCTAAATGTCCTAATCGTGGGCCTTGGAGAGGGTTTGAGTTGTCTTTCAACTTCCTTCTTTTCCTCCTTTTATAGTCACTTCCTTCGATAGTTTTCATTTATCAACAGTTAACTGACTTTATAACTCTCAGGCCGTTATTCCTTTTGTCAAACTAAAATTTTCACTTCAAGCACCAGTATGGGACACCATCTATCTTTCCCCGCTTTGTTAATTGTTGGCAACACACTTCCACCTTGGTATTTAATGACCACTCAAAATTATCCAAACTGATGCCTCCGACATTGGCTCCGGTGGTATCCTCCTCCAAAAAGTCAATCCAGACTCACCAAAGCAAATTGTTCGTTTTTACTCTAGAGTCTAGAACAAAGCACAAGTAAATTATAGTACTGTTAAAAAAGAAATTTTATCTATTGTCCTGTGTATCTCAAAATTCCAGGATAATATATTAAATCAGAAATTCTTAGTAAGAATAGATTATAAATCAACAAAGTATATTTTAGAAAAAGATGTACAAAATATTGCTAGTAAGCAAATTTTTGTCAGATGACAATCTATTTTGAGTATTTTCGATTTTGATATCAAATATATTAAAAGCAGTAATAACTGCATTCCTGATATCCTAACCCGTGAATTTCTGTAGAAACCTCGTGACGGACGGAAAACCTAGCAAACCCAACACTTCCTCTAAAAAACCGGGGAAGGACACTAGTAAACAAAAATAATTGAAAAAATTTAGATTTAAATATGAGTAGATTATTTAGATCTAATTCTATGGCTAGCTCATCTAGATCTTCATTAAACACTATACCAAATATAGTAAATGAAGAAGAACATGAGTATGAAGAGTCACCAGCAGACTGGAGTGAATAGAATATCCCAAAAATTTCCCATACGGAAATCGATAAAACTAGTTGGCTCCCTAAAGCCTTTAACCAAGAGCTTCAAGTAAAAACAATTGAACAAGTCTATGTCTTAACTAAGGATGAAGAGTCTTGTCAATTACTTAGTAAAGAAGCTATTAAAAAACATAGATCAAAAGGATTTAATTTTATCCACCTTGGTCTAGTTCAAGTAGCAATCAAACCTTTAATCACAACTGGTAAAGATGCAACAGTCTTATTATCCGTAAGAGATGCTAGATTCATAAATTATGAACCTAGTATTTTAAGAATAATGGAGGCTGATCTTCATAACGGGCCAGTATATTTCAATTGCTTTCCCGACTTTACTGTAAGTCTAGAATGTCCAAATACTATAATGGCTTTGACCCTTGGTATAAAACTCTCCGGAGAAATTACCAAACTAGTAAAAGAAACTAGATCCTTAGTACTTATCCATAGGATTTACTACAAATGCATTACCACAAACCTGAATGTGCATACATTAAAGAAAAGTCCTAAAGATAGCACCTTGTTAATTCAAGCTAGTACTAGTGAATCAAATATCCAAGTCCCTAAAAGACTTCTATGGAAAGAATATATATATATATACAACTATCTGAGTGGTCATTAAATACCAAGGTGGAAGTATGTTGCCACCAATTAACAAAGAGGGGAGAGATATATGGTTTCCCATACTGGTGCTCGAAGTGAAAACTTTAGTTTGAAAAAAAGAATAACTGTCTGAGAGTTATAAAGTCAGTTAATCGTCGATAAATGAAAACTATCGAAGGAAGTGATTATAAAAGGAGGAAAAAGAAGGAAATTGAAAGGCAACCCAAACCCTCTCCAAGACCCACGATTAGGACATTTAGGAGTAATGCTATAATTAGTTAATGTTGTAATCAAAGACTGTTAAATCAATCACTTTGTAACTGAAATTCATTCGATTAAATTAATAAATGAATTTAATTTTAATAATTTATTATTTTGTGTGTTCATTTCTTTAAGAATTGATCAAAAAAAAGTTATGAAACAAAGAATTTGAACTTGTCGATTTAAGTATTTTTGTCAATCGTAACAAATTTTAGAGTAACAATATGCAATATACATGTTTGCACCAACTAGTAGTATGGATTGCAAGACTTACAAGATCAATCCTACAAAGACAAAACCTTCCTTCGTGAGTTTGCAAATTGGGTCCAGGAGCCAACATGTCCATCGTACCGTAGCGATTACGCACGCGTTGTTTAGGTCAGAATGGATGGTCCTTCTAAGTTCTAACTGATCAACAAGAAACGATAAGTCCTTTCATCTGCTAGACACAAACGCAACCCTTTTGATTTAGCATAACGCCCCTGAACAAAAAAAAAACGCAACATATCTTCACTCCCTCTCTTTACCCACCGCTGAAAAAAGTACTCACGCACCTTCTCTCGCTCCCCATCTACGAGTGTATTCTCTCTCTCTCCCTCGCTCCGAAAGACAGTTCCATGTATAAGCTTCACTGCTTCTGAATTTGTTAACTACCCTCTATCTGTTTTGTCTCGTATGGGTATTGAACAATCTGGGTCTTGAATTTTGAGAGCTCAAATTATCGAAAAAGATATTTATTTGACTAATTACATCTTCTCTTATTGATTTGCCTGTCTTTTCTTGTTATTTTTCTTCTGCTTATTGGAATGCGATCTTCTAAGCCAAGAGTAGAGTGTCTTTTATCTCAAAGTTTTGAACTTTATGTAGCAATTATATCCTCCAGCGATTTGTTTCCACAGTGGGTTTTAATCTCTCATTAAATAACATTAAAGGAAGATAAAAAGTTCATCTATATTTTTGTCTACCCAATAAATGAAATGACATTCTTTAATTATTAAGGCATCTCTAATCTTGACTCTCCAATGGATAAGGAGGATAAATTCAAATTTAAAAGAGTTTGAAATATGTACTGAAATCTAACTATAGGAGATTTGAGGAAAGGTTTGAGTTTTTTTTAATTTGAATAAAAATTTGAGTCTTCCATCATTCATTTGATATTTGATATGAGTTTGTGTAAAAAGACTGGAGTTTATTTTTAGTCGGTTTTTACTTAAATTTGAATTTGAGTTACGATTTAAGTAAGGACCAGAGATGCTCTCCACGCATTTTGTCGTTAGAAGTCTCTACTGTCGGTAATTTATATGAGGAACTCACTCGTGAAGACTTACCACCTTATGGGTAATTCTTTTTGGTGTTGCTGTGGTTCTACGATACAGGTTATAAAAATTTTGTTAAGAAATTGTTAACAATGAATTAATATGATTTTGATTTTATTCTAAAAAACTGTTTGCATCATGGTCATCTTTTTAGGTTTTATTTGCTTACTGAGAAACCAGAGCTCACAGAAAGAAAGAAATGAAACTTCATTTTCAACTGTCCATGATTCTGGAAGTTGAACATCTTTCCGTAGAAGTCTTTTAGGGACTTGGATATTTGATTCACTAATACTAGCTTGAATCAACAAGGTACTATCTTTAGGACTTTTCTTTAATGCATGCACATTCAGGTGGTAAGATTTCAATCATGGGGCCGTGAGCAAGCCACCACTATAAAAATCAGGAAGAAATCTAGCTCTTGAAATCTTTACTAAATTGGATGAACCAAGAATGAGTGTAAGACTCATCCCGATTGAGTAAAAGTTTAAACCATGATTCTTTGTAATCATAGTAATTAAACTTCTTGGTATGACCCGGGAGATCTCTGGATGAAGAAGGATGAGATCCCCATTCTTTTAATGAAATAAATCTTTGTATGTACAAAGAATGTCAAAGTTTCTACAAAGATCTTATCTTGTGCTCTAAAGTCTTTTATTTCTTGCTTAAGTTTTTAACTTCACTCTGGAGATCTTGTAAGGTGACTTCCTTCTTTTTCTCCTTACTAAATCTTTCCATTGTTTTGTTAAAATTAATTAACTGTTTTTCTCCAAAAGATTATTTAATATCTTTCTTGATAAACAAATCTTTGAGTTTTTTGATATTTTACTTTTAACTCTGGACCCCCTCTCTCTCTCTATATATATATATATAGGTTAAGTTTTGTCAACCAAAAACCCAGTGCCCTATCTTTCATGCCTAAACACTGACTAGATGAACTAAAAGCAATAGCTTCTATGATTTTCCCTTCTGATTTCTCTTTTACCGCTCATGGTCTCCTTGTAACTGATCCTTCAATTAATCTTGCCACCGGGAATAGTCCACCTAAAAAGAAAAGGCATCAATCAAAAGGACCAATGAGTTCCTCTTCCATGCCACCCCCACAGATAGCTAGTGAGGCGACAACATCTAAAACTAACTCAACCTCCTCCTCTCCAACTCTCCAAGAGACTGCTACCACCAGAGTTCTTGCCACTAATAACCCTTCTCTTGATGTAGAGACTCCTCCTGGCCCATCTTAAGGTAAGGCAAAGCTCAAAAAGATATCAACAAAACTTTTCCTGGAAGATTGTGATGATGCACAAAAAGTGAAGGGAAAATGGAATGAGATTAGATGGTTAAAGGTTGAGAATTGAAAGGTTGAGAAAAAATCTAGGCTAAGGTACAGGTACCTAGGCTCATAAGTACCGGTACCACGCTGTTAGATAACCCAAGTACCAATACCTAGACTTACAGGTACCAATACCTGGATTCTAATGGGCTCAAGTACTAGTATCA